TACAATGTAGATGTTTTTTCAGGGAGATAGGAATATATGTCTTAGTTTTCTTTGGAGTTTTATTTTCATCTTTTGTGCAAAATCAAATGCATCAACATTAAATCATGGTTTGTCTTTCATTTTTAGTTTTTCTTTTTTTTAACAAATCAATTTCTTCACTTTTCTCCTTTTTAATACCCTTGTGAATATTCCTGTTAGTTTTGGGACTATCGCTCGAATGATGGTGATACTTAGCAAAGTATTTTTAAAAAAAGGTATGAAATTATGTCAGTTATCCACAACAAATTATTTCCTTCCCTAATATTTAATAACTTGATGTGTATTTCTTGTTTGCTATCACTAAATCCGTGTTTCTGTTAAAACGTCACCTTCTTGATAAACATACTGATGGGTTTTTGGGCAGAATTTTACTTGGTGGTTAGGTTGTGTGAACCTGTAGGTTTGTCGTTTCTTGTTTTCTTGCTTGAATATATCTGGGTGAACAGCTAAAAGCACTGTGGTCAGATGTGTGACCCACTGGAACAGTCACCAGGCTCCAAAAATAATACATTTGTAATATATCAGAATTAGGCTTATGTTATTTTAAGCTCTGTTTGAAGACTATGAACTCTCCAGGCCATAAAGCAGTACTTAATAGACCTCCTTTTTTTTTATTCCATATTAAACTTCTAAAGCTCCCACCCACACTTTTTTTCTTCACTTTTCTGCCTTCTTTGACTTTTTTTGCTCTTTGGTTAAAGCAAAACCAATCAGCCACGGCCACAAAGAGGCCCCTAGTATAAACCTCAGAGGGCATCAGGTATTATGTTTGCTCATTTAGTGGATAAGAGCCTCAGCTAGAACAAAGAGTTCTCCATCAGGTTGTTTATGACTCATAATGCTCCATGTTGAACTTTAGCCAAGACCCACCTACCGGTTAAGGCCTAAACACGTCTCAGTAAAAACTTTGATCTTTAAGCTCAATTACTGGGCCCCAAAGGAGAGATGGTCTTCTGTACTCATAATCATTACTTACAAGTTAGTAAGTTTAGTAATCTGCATGTCCTTTTCTGCATCAAATTAAGATTAGATTGTAACAGGACTAATTCAGCTCAGATGGTTTCATCAATCACTAGCTTGGTTTGTTTGCTATGCAGTGCACTGCTATAAAATATTATTTCTGTAAATAGTAAATAAAAACAATGATTTTCAGATTTTAAAATACAGTTATTACATCAGAGATAGCTTAGCTTAAATTAGAGGCACGAGATAACTTAGTGGTTAGGGATGGGAAATATAAAAAAAACTTGACTTATGACACAAAAACAGTGAAAATAGGCTTCAATTTAAAAAAAAAACTGCTGTGACTGAAAAGGCGGTCCTGCGACATGCTGAAGGAGTGCCTGCTCTGATTGTAAACTGGTTGTCCAGCCACACCTGTTGTTAGTCATTTGTTTTGCATGAAGCTGGGAGGCTATAGAGAGCGCTGTAAAGGTGGTGATGAAGTGGAAGCAAACAGGGTTCCTTCTAACAAACAAGCTTTAGGTTTGCATTCCCAAAAAGCCACCGAGGTTGTAAATTCTGCTGATGTCCTCATTACGGTCGTTATTAATTAATTTATTTATTTATATTCCCCCTTCAGACAGATTGACCCATTTTGGTCCAATTTTGTAACCAACCAACCAAAAGTTCCCAAGTATAAAGTAAAAAGAAGCTCAAACATCATTTCTGACTTTTATTTGGCAGACAGACACAGAATCATTCAACCAATGGAAATGTGGTATCATTTAAAAGTTTCAAAAAAATAACACAAGCAAATCATAAGATTTGAGCATTTCAATAATTAATCAGAACAGCTATTTACTTAAATACTGAACTACCAATAAAACCAAGAACTGGGTTTAGAACTGTCTGTTTACTGACGTAGAAGGTTGTGAAATGGTGGATTTGAATTGGTCCTCCTTATCAGAGGCTATTGATAACCAGACTTAAAATAGCCTGTTGGATTTATCAACGTCAAGTTAGATTCTAGACTTAATGGACTATTAATTGAAGGCTGGAAATATCTCACTATCTACATAAAACAGCCCTAAACCCCTTAAGTGAAGCTACAGGATGTCAGCAGTTCGCTGCCACATGCTGACCTTTGTTTGAAATGAATTTAATAGGGAAAAGATTTTCAGCAGATTAAATTCTTCACTGATGAGGATCTATTTTTGAAGATACATCAGAAGACTGATCAATCCTGATCTCACGAAGGTCATGTTTAAGGAATAAAACTCCTACCGGTGCAGTCAAACGGATTCAACTACATGCAGGCTGTCCTGTGCAGAGCAGAGGATGGGAGTTTATCACACCTGCTAACACTGTCCTGTTGCTGCTGCCCCGCAATAAATTTAACTACTCATACATACAAGCCATGCATTGTACGAGTTATGTGCATGCGGTGCAGTAAACATGTGACCTCAGCTGATGATCAACTACACAGAGTTAACCTTAGCCTACAGATGGTTTCATGATATCTCTGAAAAGTAGAGGGATGTTTTGCTTTTATTTCAGCAACCTGTTCTCCAGACATAAATCTGATCTCTTTCAGATTAAGCCTGATTATCTCTGTGGCAGGTTTACATCCTCTATATCTACGTAAGGAATTTGGATTTCTTTTTTCTTTTTTTTTTTGCAGTTTGGCCCAGTTACTGAGGAAGGACGGGCTTTTCATGGAGAGCTAAAGGTGCTCTCTTTGCATCACGTCCGATTTGAGTTGGGCTTAGAGGTACAACCAGAAAAAGGCTTCGGTGTGCACATTTGACATTTTTCACCTGGACAAACATGGTCCAGTGGCATGCACATAAGCCACCAAAAATGTGAAGTATGTCAGAGTGGAGCTCTCTGTAGGATACATGACCATGTTTTTAGGGAAGTATCTTTTTTTTTTTACCTCTTCATGTTCACAATTTAGAGACAGATTGTTAAAATAGTTTACATTAATCCTTCATATTATACAGTGTCTTAAACATTTCAATAGCACTGAGTTTGACTGGCTGTGCATAAGACTAACATTATACTGTCATAATCATTACATATGGCCTGCTATGGACCAGGAGTCTAAAATGTCTTTGTTATGACTACTTGACATCAACAGAACTAAAAAGTTATTTGTAACGATTTGATAACAATCAAAAAATCATAACTATCAGGTCTTATAATCTTTGACTGTCAGGAAATTATTTTATTTATGTCATTAATGTTTTCCCTTACCTCAGGTAATATAGAACAAGCTGTAGGTGTTAACACAACAGTACAGAATTAATCATTTGACGGCTCGTTAATGCTTAACGACAACTTTGCTACTAGTTCTGCTTGTTTAACTTCACTTGAGGTATGGGAAAAATTAATGACATATTTAAAAAATTGTCTTTTAACAGCCAATGTTTCGACCAATCCCACTGGAGATTAATTTCCCTTTTTAATCACTGGTGTTAAAGAACAAAAATATTTATTTTGCAAAAGTATGCAAGCATCTAAATGACTTTCAAAGAGAATTCAAAAGTAAAAAGAAATAAATGAGAAATGAAAAACTGGAAAATAAAAAATGATAAATAAACAACTGTAATTGTTGTGAAGAATATAAAATTTCTTTAAAAAGTATTTTTAAACCCTTTATTTGATTCAAAAGTTTCTTCTTAACGCATTTGTGTTCCTAACCCTCAGTCAGCGGAGCAGGACTACAGCTCCATGTCTACGAGAATACGCATGAAATCAGTTGAATAAAAACTTTTGCATGCCTAGATGGGAATATGCATGCATCGGAGGGGGCTACATGCATTGAAGGGTGCATTAATTAGTACATCAATAAGTTGCAATAACTGCAGAAACTGGTTAGCCTAAGCGTGATTCATCTAAAGCTTCTTTGAGCTTCAGATTAAGTTCAATATGAGCTGAGATGATCTGAGTGTTTCTAATTTTAGCAGCTCGCCTGTTTTATCCTCCTTTTTAAGGAGGAACACATCCTATAATAGCAGCAGGAGTGGTTATACTGTACCATTCATGTTTAGATTTCCTGAGAGGTTTACTCTAGACAAAGCCAAGATCCTCTTATGTAAAAATAATAGTTTATGGTCATTTTGTTGAATTATTAACCTTTATCTCCTGAGTATCATTGGAGTCTTTAGATCTTCCTATAAATCACTGTTTTTTTTGTTTTTTTTTGTCTACTTACATCTGCCCTAACCTTTATAGGGCTTAAATATTAACTGAGGATGTGATGGACTGTGTAACTGCTGTGTCTTTCTTCACAATTTGTTTTGAAAGACTTGTGATCGTGACTTTTGTTTGGGCTTTTTACTTGATTAAATAACCAATGCTGTAAATTTATGAGCATATTCTGGCAAATGAGGGCTATATTAATGTGCAAAATGATACAAAATATAATTTAGATATTTTCTGTCCCCGTTGATCGGCCCTCATTGAGAACAGTGTTGTTGGGGCTCTGCTGTTTTTCTGTTTACTCCTCTTTTATGTCACCACCTGCTCTGCTTTCATCAGGCCGTTCGCTGCCTGTGTTTGGAGGGGTTTGGGGGGGGGGTTGAAAGGAAGAAGAGGATGGCAGGATGGATTAACTGTGCTGTTGTTGCTGCAGTTTACACATTCCAGCCGTCCGAACCGGTCCAGCTCTCTGTGCCAGTACATAGGCCCCTGGTTAATTATTTTCTCTTTGTTGTATCCAGATTCTGTTGCTATGACTCCTGTTTGATGTAGAACTCAGTCAAATCCAACAAAAACATGTTTCCTCTCCTCAAGCAAAGGATGCAGAGCCTATCTGTAGGGCATCAGTAATACTTTTTATATTTTACTTGGGGATGGAGCTCCATCTAGAGGTCAAGTCATGTAATTTCATCTAAACTATCTGAGGTTTAACATATTTTCTCTAAGGTTTTTCAGTTTTTGTTCACTGGAAATTATACATTTTTGTTGGTTTTAGCTCTATTATTAACACAGCATCTTTTTGTTCTGATCAACAGGGCCGAGTTGAGGTAGAGGCCGGAAACGAGAACATGAAGTTTGAGACGGGACCTTTCTCGTATTATGGAGTCATGGCGCTCAATGCTTCCATGCAGGGTGAGTCCTGAATTGTTTTATCTAAGATCAAGATCTGTTCACTGATCCCATTTAAAAAAAAATAAAATAAAATAATCCCATTAGGTGTCTCTCTGCTGCCACCTGGTGACCAGGATTTTACCCACAGCTTGGAACTCATTTTGTGAACTACTTCCCATCTGTTGTTTATTTATTTATTTTTATTTGCATTGGATCATTACTAATGTGATGCTGAAACAAATGGAACATCGAGTGTTACCTTCAGGATGTGATGCATTCATTTTTTCTCTTTTATATCTCTAGAAGGTCAAAGTTTCTCTGTTTTTAATTATATTCCTGCAAATAAACGTACAGGACATCTGTATTGGTCTCGCATCAATGCATGTGGTAACAGTGGAAAGTAACGGCTCCCTTATAACAGGAAGAAACATCCAACAAAGCCATTATCTGTTATCTACAGTGGATGTGAAGCAGATTTAGTAAAAACTTCCTGGTTTTACCTTCTAATGGAATTAGAAGCAAGTTGTGGCTGCAATGAAAGCACAATGGGGAGTAAATGGAGAAAATAGAACATCTGTTCGCATAAAAGCATTTCTCTTCTTCTTCACTTGCTTCCATTTTTTCCTAAAATACTTTGTTACTCTTTCAGGACCTTTAAATGGGGAAAAGGAACAAAAAGAGGATGAGTGAAGCATTGTTCTAATAATGTTTGATAACCTTCCTTCTCTCTTTAGCCTCAACATCCAACCTCTGTTCAAACTCCTTAAAGGAAAACACTGTTACAGCTCATCTGCTTACCTTCCTACAGAGAGATCTGACAGGGAGCAGCAGCTTGTCGCCATGGCGCTGCCTGCTCTCTCCCAGGCTGTGAGCAGATCTGTCTCCCTGTTTATCACTGACCGTCCCTTTCATCCTCCCTCTGTCCCGTCGCTCCCTTCCCCTCTCTCCTGTCCTCTCAGTGGCCGCACCTCGTCCTCGCCTCCTCTCCTTTAAGAGGTTTTCTCTGTTCTCTCGGTTGCCAGGTAAACGCCGGCATGTCTGGGTAGTCTAACACCGAGCGCAGACGGGGCTTAGATTCACTCGTTGGAGAGGTCAAAGGGCAGAGAGCTGGTTCTCTGCTGCCCTTTGTGGGTAGAACAGCTGATAATGATTAGCGCTTCTCTTCAAAGTCAATCTTTTTTAGCCTGATCATGTCATAGACAGAGATGCAGCTTATTCAAAAGTAACCCACAGCACCTGCTCTATTCACCGTATGATTGAATCTTTAAGCACTGCACGACGGCTACATTTTGGCAAACTGTTATTTAGTTGTAAAAGTTATAAAAATGTTCCCTTTTGAAGGTTTAAGTTTTAGGAATTCAGATGGCATGCTTGAACAACAACATTATAAATAGAATAGAATAGCAGACTGTACGAACCCAAACAGCTGTGCAGTAAGTTCAGATATATGCGGTGATAGAAGATCACCTGTTTGCAGAGAAACTGAGTAAAACACTGAATGTGATCATTCATTAAAAATGTACTTAAAAAGGAAGAATTATCAATGATTTACTGGATCTGATGTTTTTACTGACATACTGACCCAGCTCTCAGGATGTGGAGAACAGAACTAGTGCATTTCTAGAATGAGAGCTGCTCTGGTAGAAACCACCCAAAACAAAGTCCTTCAGCTGCCCTTCTTTAAGACAAAGCCTGATCTGTAGAAAGCTGAATAAGTCGGCCTTTTAGATGATCTCCGTTGCATAAAATGACACATACAGTAGGTTGCTGCTGTATAATTGAAGTCCGAACGAGGTGAGTTTGGTCCGAGCGTTTGCCAACATGTCAGCCTTGTGCTAAAGATATAGAAGGATAGGCAAACATGAAGAGACCCAGATGTGGTTTGATACCCCTTAAGGAATAAAGCTGCTGAGTCACGTCTGGATGCATCCTTTTAGCTTCCAACTCTTTCCCCATCACTGATCACTGCCCTAAAGATAGAGCATGTAGCTTTCAACATGTAGTTTGTAATGTTCCATTTATGCTTTTCTATCATCTTTCTTTTTCTTTTTCAAAAATAGTTTAATTCTAGCTTAGATGTCCTCAAGATTCTGCAGTAAGACGTAGACGTCTTTAAAACAGCACCCAGTTCCATATATATTCCCACCTATATTTGTTATTATATAGACGTGTTTGTTTGGAACTGGGTCAGTAGATTTTTAATGCACTAACTCAAACAGACTAGTTTACTGATAATATTGACTCAGTTTAATCCAGTAGGAAACTTTTCAGCAGGTTTTAAATGAGAAGAATAATGACAGAATAACTTCAAAAACATTATTTATTTTAAACGTGTTTATAGTCTGACATGGTTGCTAAATGTTGCCGTTTATTTTCAAACATCTGCTTTTATTGTTGTCATTGAAATATATCACAAGTAAACAGGATAAATATAAAAATATGTTTCTATAATAAGCTAATTTCTCAGAAAAACATTTTTTTCTGCCAACAAATCAAAGATTGTGTTGGATTTCTCTTTGATTTGCTTTTTATTTGTATTTTTCCGATAATGTAATAATACAATATTTTCTAGCGGCTATTTATTGGATAACGTTTAACTCATATTTTAATGCACTGTTTGGAACAGAGCTGTTTTTTGTTTTGTGATTAAGCCAACAGGGAATATTCAGAGAAGGGTCCAGGTTCAGATAAAATCTTTTTTTTTCTTTTTTTTCCCAAAGGCATAATAAAAAAAGATACAAAAGGCTATATATAGCTAGATTAGTTGTTTTTTTTAATAAGCATCAAAAAATATCCCATAAAACCAGCATTCAATGTATTGTTTCTGCTTAATCAACAGATTCCCTTCTAAATCACCAAAGACTTCTTTCTGTCTAACATTTCAAACTGCTACTTATTTAGGTCTTTTAAAACAGATAAACTTTTTAACATTTCAGGTTTATGTTTTCATAGAAAATATATGTTCAGAGTAACAGATAAGCTTTTAAAGAAAGATTAAGAGTTTTTATCTTAATCACACTTTATGCTGCCATAAAAGGTGGTTTGTTATTTATTTGGATTTAAAATTAGCTGAAGATAATATTTTCATGTTAACTTTAAGGTAAAAGAATGAGTTTTCTGATTTTAACCTGAGAAAAATCTCCTACTGGATTGAATAAAAGCCCAGATGTTTGCTAATTTAACCACTAACTGTTAGACTAGCTGCAGACATCCAGGATGAGTGTCCTGATTTAATTCGTGGTTAACTAAAACAGTTGACATGTCCAGGTAAAACAGTTTCCTATGACTCACTGAGGCCCCCTACTGGACGTCTCACACCAACCGGTAATAAGAAGCACTGTGGTGACAGCCTTGTGTATGAATTGTTTGTATGCGTGTGATGCTTCCAGAATGATTTGGTTTGTTTGGATGATGTCAGCATATTAGAGGCAAAAAGGGAAGTTCATTTAAGTCATCAAGCATCATTGAGAGTTAAAATAGGAACTATAGATGGCTATGAGTAAGTTCTGGATTTCTCTTAAACCCAAACTACAAATAAAGCTGTTTTCATCACTTATCTTGTGACATTTCTGATTTAAAGCTTTTTTCTTTTTCTTTTTTTTAAGAATCAAGAATCCAACTTTTGATTTAAATATTCCATTTATTTGTTGTTAAATCATATGTGAAATGTTTTTAATGCAGAAATTACTCCCTAAGTGATACTAAGGAGATTTTTGCTTATATTTATCTTAATAATACTAATCTGTTTGGACTTTAATAGCTGTGCAGATGAAATCAGTTGTTTATGTTATATCTGTAAAGAGCCTCATAGATCAGCACCCCTGGTAAAGATGTGGAAAATGCCAAAAAGATAAATTCATCTCAGTTTCACCAGTTAATATAAAATGTTTTATTATAAGGGATCCATTCATGTGAACCATTTTGACTAAAGTGTTTATTTATTAACAATTTTTTGGATTTTCTTGGAAGTTTTGAATTTATGATCAATAAGTTTCAGTTAGCTTACTAAGAAATCTCTGCAACAAATAATAAGGGAAAAGAATATATGGAAAATCACCCCATGTCCTCTATTAAGTATGGTGGAGGATCAGTTATGCTGTGTTACTCAAAAGGACCAGGGGGCCTATTTATATAGTATCATAAAGTACCTTAAAGTAGGTCATCCAGGTCATGATCAGATACACCTTTTGTTTTTTTCCCTTTATTCTGTGTTAAGGGTATATTAATCTCAGTGCTCCCCATCATCAGTTAGAACTGAGGAAGCCTCTAGAATGAGATGCAAATGTTAGGATTTTCCCCCACTAGATAAATGTCTTGAATGAAGAGCTGTATTTTTACTAATATTTGGATGTAAAATATTTAACCTTAAAGCAAAACAAATGTATTGAAACACTTATTACACATCTTAAACTGCCCCTTTTTGTCTAACGTTGAGGATTTATACAAATAATGAACCAGGCGAGTATCTGGTAAACAGTTAAAGGGTTTATTTCAGAATCTGAATGTTATTTTTAGTTTTTAAGTTTTGCAACTAAAGCTCTGTGTGATGCATCTGTCTCGGCAGTAAAGCAAACAGTTTTCAGATTATTTAAAAACAGTTGCTTTAAATGTTTACCTTTCCCCCTGCAGGGCTTTATCTTGTTTGATTTAGAGAAATGATTGTGGCTGATGTCAGGCATCTTGATTAATGCTGAGTCACTCTTTGTTGGAAACTTTTTTGTGTGTCACTGACTATCTGTATGTGTGTTTCTGAGGAACATTTGATTCCAGCTAACCTTTATGATTGTTTTTTGGGTTTTTCCTGATATTTCCTGCAATCATCCCTTGTTGATTGTTCCTAATTTCTCATTCCTGTCATCATTTCTAACCTGCACCGTGTTTTTAGAACCCTACATTGTGGAACCATGACTTACTGAATGCCGTAGAGCTCTGCAGATGTCTGTTACATTTTAAAAGTGTCTTTTATTGGACGGCCTTATCAGGATGAACTATTTGTTCCTCTAAACTTGCTTTAGTCTGGTTCTGGTCTAACTCTCTCTGTCCGCATCTGCAGAGTTTCGCTCACCGTCCCACCTCAGCGGGTTGAACCGGACCGCCTCACTGAGCGGCGCCGATCGCACGGACTCTCTGGCCGTCAGCGGGAGCAACAGCCAGCTCAACAACAGCATCCCTTTACAGCAGTACATTCCCGACTTCAACGTCAGGGCCCTCACAGACCTGCAGTTTGTCAAGGTGGGTTAGAGGGTTCAGACAGTTAGTGATCATGACTGACAGGCTATTTTAAAATTGAAAGAATAACATCTTTAATTTTATCTATCGTTTTGAGAGAAATTTTTTCTCAATATTCTTAAAAAATGATCAGGCAGATTTCAGTAGGTTTGAGCTCTAGTTTAAATAAACTAAACGGGGACGGATTCAGGTTTTCTTGGTTTTGCTTGCAGCTAAATATCAAGTGGTCATGGATAAAACAGTTTGTCTCTCTTTACGTGCTGTCAAATGTTGTCAAACATTGTATGGCTTCTGTTTGTTTGGCCTTTATTGTTGCATGCAGCACTTTGAACTTAAAGGTGTTTAAGTGCTCTTTAAATAAAGCTGCTATGGTATGATGCAGCGACATTTCAGAAATGTAGGAAAGCCTGGATTCATTTTGTGGCAAGCAATAAATGTTGAGAGACAGTTGTTGTCAATTTGTTGTCATAGAAACAATTTTTTCAAACGAAATCATATATATATATATATTTTTTTTTTTTTACAAAATACTCCTTCACAGCCTTAGAAATATAAACTCCTTTAGTGATAGTCCTCATTGCAGAGAGAGCTGCATCTGAATCACCAGTCATCACACTTGGGGAGAACCAGGAGTGTCTGACAGCAGCAGCTGCGGTTCCCCACCTCATCGAGCCACAGTGTTTGGACCAACCTGGACTTCATTATCTGCAGAAGGAACCCCCTTTCCATTCTTATGGCCCAGATACATTCATGCACATTGCTCAAATTACAAGAAACTTCTTTAATTAGTATAACATCAAGTCATTGAAACTTCTGAAAGGTTGATCTGGTCTGTTAAGTAGCAAAGCAGGGTGTTGAGTGTCAGCTGTGCTTTTACAGTTGTAACTGCTTTAAGAGCCAACATGTCTGTCCTGTTCTCTTAGATCACACGGGCTCAGTACCAGAACGGCCTGATTGCTTCTCGCTTGGACAGCACGCCTCAGTCCCCGGAGAACAGCCACACAGCCCACCCGGAGGAGGCAACTCCACCAGCCAGCATCACCATCACGGACCTTGGAGCAGACTCCGCCCCTATGGAGAACGGCCCAGACGAGACGACGCTCCTCCTCCTAAACGAGCAGACGCCGGCGCCTACGGCGAACCACCACAGTCAGCTGGAAAACAGCGTTTGACCCGGACCTCTCTCCCCTCCATCTCCCTAGGTTTGCACACATGCACTACTGAGCTTGGACGTTCGCTGAGGGGGGAGGGGAGTTGTTGGCACCAATCACACCTTAGAAGTTCCAAAAAGACAAGCCATGTGCGCGCATATCGTGTAGATATGCAGGGATGCAATTTATCAAACATACCCTAATGAGCCAAAGCATTACTGACACGTCTTTGCATACCCACAAGTTTTATCTCTTGAATGCAGCTCTGAAATACAATCAGACTGAAGGAGCATTTAAAGGTAGCCCGATAATGATTAAAGCAATAATCAAATCATCATCAACATTTAATCAGATGCAGCTGAAATCAGTCTTATGTCAGAATTTTTTATTTTTTTTTTCTAGTATAAAATAATAAAGCATAGTTCTTTTTATAATTTTGGAATAATTATGTCGAGTAATGTTTTGGCTCATCAGTGTGGAAAGGAAACTACCAAACGTTTGTGCCTCGATCATGTAAGCAGAGGAAACATCAAGCTGTCGTCACTGATAGCTCCTCTTTACTCGCTCCGTGCCTCCGCCACCTCCGTTTCCGTGCCGCTTCCAGTTCAGAGACTCAGGGAGACTCCGCCCTCCTGGCTCCACCAATCACGTTTCCAAGCAATGGCGTCGCCGCTTGTGTTGCAGCCTGGAGCTCCTCCTCCCTTCAGCATCCACACGGCGGAGCTCAGACCGGTTATTATATGTTCCATGGAGATTTCTAGTAAATATTTATTGATGAACTCAGATTGAGACGGACACTAAAGACTTTTTCTTTGTTTTGTTTTTGTATCTCCATAGCGAGGGAGTTACGACGGGAGTTTTCCTCCTCGTTTTTGCCTCCTGTGTAAAAACAGGGATTAACCAGGAGCCTTTATCCCAAAGTTGTGAAGAGATTCACCACTGATTGACAGCCAGTCTGTATTCTGATTAAAACAATCTTCATGAATTCTATGAATGTGTTCAATGAAATGTGTAGGGTACGTTAACTGTGGCCGCTCTCGTCTCTGTGAAAGCTTTAGTTTTCATGTTTCAAAGCTTCATTCTGGCCTTTATTCACATCCATCTGGTGCCAGTTCTAACAGGGATGAGAGCAAAGAGACTTGACGGATCTGGTCCTTCTTTTTAAAAGAGGCCGGTTCTTTTTCTTTTCTTTTGATTTTTGTATACTTGTGTGTGTGTGTATGCGTGCGAGCATGTGAGTGTTTATTGGCGTGCGTCTGCGACCAAAAATAGCCATCATTTGATGGGATCAGAAACCAAAAGAGGGATGCTGCATCACCTCCTAACTAAGAATATACTTTAAAGAAATCAGAGACTTTATTTATCTACTTTAAGGCTTGTATATATTTCGGCCTATGAGGCGCAAAAAGAAAATTTTTTATTTTGCCTCATTGTGAATTTTTCTTTTTTTGTATCTCTTGCCTGGGTTTCTTTTCTTTTTTTAAATCTGGGGTAATGGGATAATTATACGGAACTGCAAAGATGAAAAACACTCGGCCTGGGCCACATTTTGTCACTTTTATGATAAACTGTTCTGTACGTTTTACTATCATCATCATCAGCTCCTTTTTTCTTTTTTATTTTGAACTGCATACACTCCAGTTGTATTTTACTGTAACTTCAAAAGAAATTTTAAGCGGAAAACCAATCATAAAACGGATAAAATGATCTTTCTTGTGGTGAGATTTTTTTCTCTGAACATTTTTTATGTGCACAGAAACATTTAGACTTTTAAGGCATCCTTACCGACCGCTCAGAGCAGCCTGGTTTCTTTTCTAGTTTTTGTTCCCTTGGGATCAGCTTATGACATGATAAACTACTCACAATTACTTTTGAAACTGAAAACAAAACATGAGAAAATTCTTATTTCCCTGTTTTTGAGCTGAAAGAACAAGGTTTTATGTTTGTAGAACTTCCTGTGACTCGTTTTGTTTATATTTGGAAAAGCTTTAATGTCACAAGCTTGAAACAGAAACATTTTTCACTGTAGTTTGTGAGTAAATGTCAGGCTCTCCCAGCGAGGAGCATCACCTGAGGTTTGACACATGGCTGAAGAACTAACTGGTTTCAGTTTGAGATTGATTTCTGTGGAAGATGAAAGCAAGTAATAGAAACTTTCTCAAAACATACTTAACCTGAACAGATTCAGAATTTAATTTGCATATTAAAATACACCATATCTATATCTATTTAAACTGGTTTGGAATACATTATTATTATCCAAAATTGCAGAAATTAAGTTTATTCACAGCACATTTATTTATGCTACAGCCTTATTCCAAATGGTATCGATCATTTACCAAATGGTAACTGATCTTTAAAAGCCTACCAAAAAATGCCCTATTATGACAGTATGAGAATTAAATATTGAGTTTGTTGCAAATTTATCACCAAAAGGAAAGTAAGAAATTACATCTTGGTAAGTATTCACCATCTTGCCTTAGTTCTTAGTTGATCCATCTTTAACAGCAGTTACAGCCTCCAGTCTATGTGATCTGGTGTCTCCAGCTCAGCTCACCATCTTCAGGCAGTTTGACCCATTCTTCTTTGCTGAACATCTCAAGCTCCATCAGGCTGGACATGTGCTTGGATAGTTTCAGATCTCTAGAGATGATCAATTCGATTCGCTCCACCCCAGGACGTTCCCTGCATGGTTCCGATCCACTCCTCTGAACTCCAGGCATGCCATGTTCCTTTTATTAGGGACTGGCTTTAATGGAGCAACTTTAAACACACTAACACACTCTACAGGCCTGACTGGTGGATTGCTGAAGAGATGGTTGTCCTTCTGGAAGGTTCTCCTTCTCTCCGGTCACTTAGTCCTGTTAATTCCAGCCTTCCTCCATTTACCAATTATGGAGGACACTGAGCCTCAAAGCAGCGGACAAGTTTCTGTATCTTTCTCAAGGTTTGTGAAATGAAACTTTTTCCATCGGCTGTTTTCCCCTGTTGTTTTTACCCATTGTCTTTAGCTTTTGAAGTTGAATTTACAACAGCAGATAATGATGATAAATCTGCTATAGGGATGCACGATATAATCGGCCCCCTATCGGTATCGGCCTTAAAACTGAATATCGGACGTCGGCCACCCCACCGATATTTAACCCGATATTTGATCAGCTTCTGAGTTTCTAAAGTCTAAAAAAAATAAAATAAAATACTTCTTCTTCCTCAAAAACTTCTTTTTTACAGACTTAAAATATTGATACATTAAAATATCACAAAATCTTCATATGCTGATATATTGCCATTTAAAAACACCATATCAATCTCTTTTACTAATGAAATATTGCTATATGTCATCGTTATGCTACGAAATCCCCCGAAAATTCACGAAATTTTGCCATATTTTAATATGTTGATATATTGACGCGGTATCGATCTATTTTACTAACGAAATCTCACAAGAATTTGCAAAATATCACGAGAGTTTGTAACAGAACGATGAAATTTCACGAGATTTCAAAAAGTAAAATAGATCGATACCGCGTTTTTAAAAATCAATTTGATATCAGCATATGAAAATATATTTGAGTATATTATTTTTCAAAGTGTCAGAAATGGATAACAAAACTGCTATTTTCAATGACTACTTATTTTTGTCCAGCTTTAACATCGGTATCGATATCGGTTATCGGCTACATGAGTTTTAAAATATCGGCATATCGGATATCGGCCAAAATCCCAATATCCTGCATCCCTAGTCTGTTATCCATCCTCCTTCATTAGTCTCTAATAGAACCCAGATTTCGATCTTCTCATCATAGAATAAAGTCTACGTCAAAGTCATTGGTTGTACATCTGATAAATTGCAGGATTTTTTCCCCTTCATTTCCCATCTCAAAGTAAAATAAACGGCATCAAAGAGCATCTAACCGTGGTAAAACAATTCACTCCACTGTGATGCTTTTATGGTCACCGTGCTTACTTGGTTTGATGGACAGCTCTGTCTGCCATTTAAGAAGCTTTCAATTCCTGCATCTTAAGCCTTTATAGAGCAACTTACTGTTTTTGATTACTTGCATATCCCTTATATATGGATTTTTGTGTGGCAGTCGGGGAGCTGTGTGGGGTTAAGGCTCTGGCTCAGAGACCTAGAGTGGCAGTCTGTGGGAGTGATTTCATTCATGTCTTTACCTCCTTCTGTTTCCTTGAACCCCAGTCGACTCAGCAGATGGCTGCTCACACTGAGCCTTGTTCTGCTGGAGGTTTCCTCCTGTTAAAACTGAGTTTTCCTCTCTACTGTCGCTACATACATGCTTAGTCTGAGGGATTGCAGAGAGTCAACGAGTCCTCACAATCAGCTGGTTTTCCTTAAAGAAAAATATTTTGAAGAATATGATTTAAAATCCTCCTCACATATAAAGCCTTAAATGGCCAAGCTCCATCTTATATCAGAGATCTGATTGTTCCTTATGTTCCTAACAGAGCACTTCGCTCTCAATCTGCAGGTTTACTAGTGGTTCCTAGAATTTCTAAAAGTAGAAAGGGGGGCAGGTCTTTTAGTTATCAGGCTCCTCTCCTGTGGAACCAACTACCAGTTTTAGTCCGTGAGGCAGACACCCTGTCTACTTTTAAGGCTAGGCTTAAAACTTTCCTTTTTGATAAAGCTTATAGTTAGGGTGGCTCAGGTTATCTTGAGCTATCTCTATAGTTATGCTGCTATAGGCTTAGACTTTTGGAGGACATAGGGACCCCCATTTCATCATTCTGCTTCATTCTCTCTCTGTTCTCCTATTCTGCAGAATCTGTTAGTTCAACCTCTAACCTTCTGCTCTCTCTGCTTTTCCTCAGAGTAGCTTTGCCTCGTCTGTTCCTGTTTGGCTGTGACGTCATCCTGGAAAGAAAAATCAGCTGTGCTGCTTCTATCAACACCCTTGTTTATAGATGTTGGAGATCGGCCTGTTTTCCAGTGTTGTCCTGTTTCTCTGACCGTGACTGAGTGGATGTGCTCTCTTCGTCCTCTGGCATGGGAGCTGCCTTGGAGCTCGTCTGCCTGGCTGTGTGTTTCCTGGACGGGGCCGCCTTTCACAGCTGCTTTTTGTATCTCTGCTTCTGTCTCCTTGAACCCCAGTCGGCCTCGGCAGATGGCCGCTCACACTGAGCCTGGTTCTGCTGGAGGTTTCTTCCTGTTAAAAGGGAGTTTTTCCTCTCCACTGTCGCTACAAGCATGCTTAGTGTGAGGGATTGTATTTGTGTCAATGAGTCAATGCAATCAACTGGTTTTCCTTAGATAGAAAACTTTGTATCAATTTGACTGTATGATCTGGTTGAACTGTAAAGTGCCTTGAGATGACATGTGTTGTGAATTTGGCGCTATATAAATAAACTGAATTGAATTG